TTCATCCCTCAAACGAAGAAATTAATCAGTCTTAATAGTCTTTGTTAGAACATCTGTCAGTTCTTCTGGGTGCTACAGTGCACAACTTCTAATATTCTGCTATGAACTTGATTCCTCAGAAAATGATATTTTGTCTCAATATGCTTGCTTCTCCCATGCAGCACTGGGTTCTTGGCAAGATTGATTGCATACTTGTTATCAATCATCAGCTTCAGAGGTTTGTCTACTTCAATCTTTAGATCTTGCAGCAAGTTCAGAATCCACACATCTTGGTATGCAATCAGAGCGCCTGCAATATATTCAACTTCACAGGTTGATAACGCAACAGCATGTTGCTTCTTGGAACACCAAGAAATAGGACCTCCCAAAAATTTGAATAGGTATCTAGAAGTACTTCTTCTGTCAACTCTATCTCTGCACCAATCAGAGTCTGAATAACTCAGAAGTTCTGATCCGATCTTTCTTCCAGACAGAAATAACACTCCATATTTCAGAGTTCCCTTCACATACCTCAGAATCCTGATAGCATCTTGGTAATGAGACCACTTTGGTTTACTCATAAATCTGCTAACTATTCCAAATACATAGAAAATATCAGGTTTAGTATTACACAGATACCTCAGAGAATCAACCATCTGTTTGAAGGTTGTAGCATCCACATCCTCTCCATCAGAATCAGAGTCCAACTTCTGATTCGTATCAGCAAGTGTGATAGCAACTTTGGAATTCTCTAGCTCAAATCTCTTCATAGGCTCAAGTTCATACTTCATCTGATGCAAAATGATTCCTTTCTCAGAGTACATAAACTCCATCCCTAGAAAGAAACTCATTTTCCCAAGATTTGTCATCTCAAACGCGATCATCAGAACTTTCTTGAACTTAACCATATCTTGTTCAGAACTTCCTGTTAGAAATATGTCATCAACATACAAACATACCAGAATTATATTACCTTCTGAAGTGTGTTGAACATAAACACCATACTCTATCTCACACTTCTGAAAACCTTGTTCCTTGAAAAAATAATCAATCTTCAAATTCCAAGCTCTGGGCGCTTGCTTCGATCCATACAAGACTTTGTGTAATTTGAACACCATCCCTTCCTGATTCTTTTTCTCAAATCCAGGAGGTTGTGATACGTATACCTCTTATTGTAATGGACCATTCCGAAATGCAAATTTTACATCTAAGTGCATCAGAGGTCAATTCATGTTAGCAACTATTGTAATCACTAGTCTGATTGTTTTATGACTCGCTACAGGTGCAAACACTTAGGAGTAATCCAACCCAGGATTATGTAGGAAGCCTCTTGCTACTAATCTTGATTTATTTTTACCAATTAATCCATCTGGATTTAGCTTCTGCTTGAAAACCCATCTGACGATGATGGTTTTCTTGTCTTTTGGAAGTTTTGGCAGCTTCCAAGTCTTGTTTCTCTCTATAGCATCAAGTTCTTCTTTCATGGCCTGCAACCAGACTTGCTGCTTAAGAGCCTCTTCCGTACTCACGAGTTCAGAGTCTAATAACATTTCACATTGAATAAATTCTCCTTCGGAGTCTACTTCAGTGTCTTGTAACATGTCAAACTCTGCAAATTTTCTTGGGATGCTTCTGACTCTTTGTTGCCTCTGAACTGGAACTTCAGAACCTCGGACACCAGAAATTTCCCCTTCAGAAGCTCTTGCTTCAGAAATTTAACTTTCTCCATAACCATGACTGTCTTCAGAGTCTATAAAATTCCCAAAGTCTGAATCACCATCAGAGTCAGAGTCGGAATCATCTTCTCCTTATGTATCTTCTTAAGAGTCAGAGTCTTTGTCAGCCTCAGAAACATGTGTTTCTGACTTTTCTTCAGAAGTTCTCTCATCAAAGTCAGGACGAGACCTTTCCCAATTCTAAACTTCTTATTCCTTTACAATGACGTGTCTGCTAAACTCAACTCTGTTAGTTTCTGGACAATAAAGTTTGCATGAACCTGTAATGTGGTACCCCACCAGTAACATTACTTTACTTATATCATCCAGCTTCTGTCTTCTGGGACATGTTTGTAACATACATAACCAAACACCTTCAAATGGATAACACTTTTCTTATCTCCATTCCACTTATGAATATGAACTATTTCCTTTAATTTCTTCGTTGGACATATGTTGAGCACATAACATGCAGTGGCAACAACTTCTCCCCACAGAGTATGAGGAAGCTTCTTCTCTTTGAGCATGCTTCTCACCATATCAAGCAAAGTACAATTTCTTATTTCAGCAAGACCATTGTGTTGAGGAGTATAGGGAGCAGTAACCTCATGCTCAATTCCATTCTCCACACAGAACCTTCTGAATTCTGTGGAGTTATACTCACCACCACCATCAGTTCTAAGAATCTTCAGAGTCTGGCCACTTTGATTCTCAACCTTCAATTTGAACTTCTTGAATTCAGAAAATACCTCGTGTTTGAACTTTATGAGAGATACCCATGTGATTCTGGTGAATTCATCAACAAATGACACAAAGTATTTATTCCCTCCAATTGATGCTACTGGAAATGGGCCGCACACATCAGAATGCACTACTCCCAAAGCATGCTTTGCTCTTGGAGCTACTTCTGATGAAAATGGTAATCTTAGTTGCTTCCCTTCCATGCACACCTTGCATGACTTCTCAGGCTTCTTGATTGTAGAAATTCCATGTACCAACTTCTTTGATTTCAGATGCCCTAAGCTTCTAAAATTCAGATGACCAAATCTTATGTGCCACAACTCACTTTCCTTGACAACACTTGTTGCACTAAGGCATTCAGAGTCTGCAGATCTAACATTCACCTTAAATGTTATGTTCCTTCCCTATTCCGACTCCATAATCAGCTTCTGATTACAGTTATACAGCTTTAGAAAATTGTCCTTCATGGTAACCAAAAAACCTTTCTCAATCAGTTGTCATACACTCATCAGATTGCTTTTCATGCCAGGTACATACCATACATTCTGGATCAATGCTGCTTCCCCATTGTTTAGAATGATTCTAACATTTCCCATGCCTTCTGCATTGAGGTATTTATCATCAGCAAATCTGATCTTGTACTCCTCCCAGAGTCAAAATCTACCAACAATTTCCTGTTTCCAGTAAGATGGTTTGAACACCCTGTGTCCATATACCACAATTCTGATGAATTCAGATCATCAGGTTCAAAAGCCAGCAATAGCACAGGTTTATCATTAGATTCTCCTTTGGCTATATTTTCTTCTTCTGACTTTCTTTCTTTCTTTGACCAGTAATATTTGGCATAGTGATCAAAGTTCTTGCAACAGTAACACTGAACATTCTTCTTATCGGACTTCTCCTTTCCCTTCTAGACATTCTTCTACCTATCAGAGTTTGAAGCTTCTGACCTTTGACCACTCTTATTTTTCTTCCTGGCTTCTGACCAAGTCTACTTCTGATACGTCTTACCAGAAGTTACTTTCAGAGCCTACTGCTCTACTCCCTTCTCAGAAGTTCTCTCAGTCATACACAACTCATGCGCCTCTAGACTACTTTACAGCTCTTCAACTCTCATGATGCTCAGATATTTGAAATGTTCAATTGCTACCACAATGTACAAAATTAGGGTATAATAAAATCCTAAATCCTCTAACAAAGATATAAAAAGATCTAAAAAAATATTCCTAAAATATAAATTAATATCTAAAAAAATAATATTCTAACAAAAGTTAGTCACGTCAATTTATTCCATAATTGGCGTAGCTATACAATGAAAAAACTAACAAAAGATAATGACATTATCAAATAATTCATATCCCTTCATAGGATTAAGGTATGAAAAAATTAATTAATTAACTTTATTAATGATTATTTATAATTAATTGAATTATGGTTTATCAAAGATGAGATGAAGAGGAACCTCAATATGTTAAAGAAGTGAGTAAACTTGGAGATGAGAATTTGTTGGTATAATATTATTTTTTTATAACAGATTTCAATCATCATTTGGTTATTTTTATTTTATGTAACAATAAATACTAACAACCTTACTTTTAAAATATTATTTAGGAGGTTATTGAAGGTGGTGATTCAAATAACAAGGATGAAGTGGTTGTTTACCTCAGATCTTCCCTCTTCTTCTTCCTTCTTCATTTTTCAGAAAAACAAAAATTTATCTCTAACCTACTTTCAACCTATTTACAGTATATTCTCAAAATCAAGTTTTGAAGTTGCATACTTGTGTTTCTTATCATTCTCAACTCCTTCTACCTAATGCATTGAACATCAGATCACGCTACACCCTCACCGACACATTTAAGAGTAAGTTTCTCATTTAATTTATTTTGATTAATGTATTAGCTTAAATGTATTAGTTTTAATGCATAAGATAGCTCAAATAGGTTAGTGTACAAGTTTAAAGATTCTATTTATACGATTTAGATGAGTTTGGTTAGATTTGGATGATTTATGTATATTAAAATACTTTTACTTACCCAACAACTAGCCGAGATGACCAAAAAGAAAGAAGATGTTGAAGTCACTGTAGTCAGACTGATTCATGACATCGAACAGTCTCGCCAGTCCAATGAATAGCTAAAGAAGTATCTGAAGGACGCTCAGGTGGACATCTTATTAGTTGGGAACAAAGTTTTTGAGAGGACCAAGGCCCAAGTTTTGTACCTCCCACATGATCTCAATGTGTCTGAAATGGACTATTTCAAAGTTGTGGTTGAAGATATTAATGACTAATGATAAATGTGATGATATAGATATAACATCAAATATAGTTTACAAAAAAAAAAATATTTAATAATATTTTTTAGTTAATTATTTTTCCTTTCTTTAAATTTACTATCATAGTAAGTTTTTTTTAAATTATTTTTGTCTCCCATATTCAAAAACTTATTATGCAATTAAAATATGAAATGTAAACTATTATAAAAAAATAATTGTATTTTTATTTCTAATATACCCATGCGACGAGGGAGATCCAATTACTTTCGCATGGGGCTGGCGATCTAGTTACTTTAACAAGAGAGTTATACTTGGTACAAACTCATAAATCCAAAAATATTCATCCTCTAAAATATCAATTTGAAATTGGCGAAGAGCATTTCCATGATGATCATAGGACCTGAGCAGTTGTCCAACCTTTCCTATAAGTATTTCATCATCCTTATTCCAAAGACCAAAAATAGTAAACACTGAACTGAATGGACCAATGTTATACTTCTTGGACCACCCGTCTTGTTCCATAATCCAAATTTCCAACAAAATCCTAGTAGAAAATCTATGTTGAACCACGTATCCAAGTGAATCTTTAATAGCAGCAACATCGTCGCAGAAAAATGATTCAAGATATCTTGAGTATGGAGCTTGAAGTTGCTGAAACTGATTATTGTGAAAGTCAAAGCAGAGAATATTTGAAACTTTATATTGATAAGATGAAGTAATCCAATGATAAACACCATTAACAAGAGTGTTGTATCTCGGAGGATCTTGACGTGTGACCATAGTAATAGGAGGATGATTGATAATAAGTGTCCAAGATTTAGTGTTTATATTGTAAACTTCGGCCGATAAAAGATAAAGCATTTTCGTCCTCCCATCGTTGGTAGAGATATTGAGTTTGACAACTTTGAAATCATCATTAGCATTACCAAATCCACACAAAGATTCGTCGATGTAACGATTACCGAGCGAAGGAGACGGAGGAATAAAGTGAACCTCGTTAGTGGTTGGATTCCACATGATCAGTTCATTATGATAAGTAGTGTATGGATAAATACCTTTGAAACAGAAAACACCGTTGCAACTGCCAAAGAATTCGATTGTTGCTACGTTGTTTGAAAACACTGATTTAATGAGCATTGGTTTTTCATTGTCTCTATCACATAAGTGAAACTTGATGTTGGGTGTTTTGTGAAGGACTAGAAGAATGCTGTTCTCATGAATCTGCAATTTGCTTCTTCCAGTTACAAAGAAGACACTTGTGATCAGACTGTTCCATGCTTTTCTAACACATCTGAACCTCATCAAGGATTTTGCAGGTAGTCGCCATAGTATCTCTATCTCCAAGTCTTCTGCTAAATATATATTATTTATGCTACTCATTCTTTTTTTTTCTTTTCTATTATGAATTGAAATATTGAATGTGTTTAGATCAAGGCCTGAGAAAGAAGTAGAATGAAGTTTAAATAGAACACTAAACAAACAAATCCTGTCAAAACTCAAATTGACTTTGAGATGAGATTTAATGTTTTCAACTATATCAACAATTTTTTTGAAAAATTTAGTCGACTTAAATTCCTTAATTCTTGGTAAAAAGATTGTCACTCTTAAATAAATAAATAAAAAAAAATTTGTTTAAATCTAATTTTGAGGATATAAGTAAATCAAAATAGATTTTGTAACAAACAAACAATTTCAACTAGAAAAAAGAATCATAAACATATCTGAATTCACTTTAAGATAAGATTAGAGTTTTCAACTTTATCAATAAAATCTAGAAATATTTAATTTATTGATATCCTTAATTCTTGGTTAAAAGATTGTCACCTTAAATAAATAAAAAAATAAAAAATATTTTTTTTTTTTAATTATAGTAAATCAAAGTCGACCACACTATCTATTTTGTCCTTTTCTTTTTTCAAAATTACAAAATATAAAGGTCATATTTGTCTCTTTATAATCCAAACAAATTAATACACTTCATCAAAGGTCCTCACCTTACTCGGATCCGACATGCGTTCCAACTATTACGATTTCTATTACCCTCTCGCAATTTCACCATACACTTACATCCTCTTTTCACTCTATTTGTATCTCTATCTCTCTCTCTGCTTCTATAGCTTGCTGCCTTCCTCTTCTCCCTCCTTTTCTCCTCAAACCCTAACACGTAGCGCCGTCATCCCCCTTTCTCAATCAAATTTGTGGTCACCAAATCAAATCCATATATGTACTTCTCATTTCACGATCTATTTAACATATTGATTGGAGTTTTTCATTTCGAACAATTTTGCTGTCGAAAATAGTTTCTCTATCTCCGACCAATTAGTTAAGAACAATCACCGTGAATCGTATACTCTTCATCTCTGTTAATCGTATTTTTTGATTCATTTTATGCCGTTCTTATTCATTTTTATTGTGTGTGATGCAGAGTATTTGAAAGAAGAAAATGCCCAGATCTTACAACAACAGAAAGCTTGTCGTCATCTTCTCATTCTCCTATCGTCACTGCTCGGGTCATGGCTTCAAGTTGAAAGAGGGAAGCTTCCCAAATTTTCATCAATGTAAGTTTTGTTCTGGTTTAATTTTTAATTGAAAGCTTAGATTTTTAGACAATTCACTCACTTTAAACATGTTGATTACGTTGAAGTTTTATCTCAAATCTATGAAGAACTTGAGTCATCTTCTTCACATAAATAATAGAATTTGATTCTATTTAAATATCAAGTCTTTAAGAGATTTATGTTATGCAAGAGAATTGATTTGTGCTAATTTACACGATGCTCTATCTGTTTTTGGTGGTTTACCAGGAACTGTTATTGATGGTGGACCAATGGTATCTATTTCAGCTTAATATGATAGTAATTCGAACTTTTGATGTCTACAAACCTGATTTTAAGGTTGATGAAATAAATGGAGGTGTAGTTAGTGGAATTTTGATATTATTTAATTTGCTAAAATATTTTTTTTTTTTGGTATAATCATTTATTGTATTGTTAAGGAGTTTCAGAAATTATTATTTACTAAAAAAATCATATGCTATATTTTTCTATTGTTAAAGATTTTTCAATATATTTATTTATTGTTTAGAATTTTTTAAATTTGTGTGTTCTACTATTATGACTTTTAAAAAAAATCATTATTGATTTATGACTTATACTTTCACTTTATTAAAAATATTTAGGATTTTAATTGGTTATTTATTTATTTGCAAGTTAGAAATTTAAAAAATTTTCTAAGTTCTACTATTGTGATCGTTTTAAATGAAAAATATTATTGATTTATAAATTATGTTTTCATTTGATTAAATATATTTTTTAGTAATTTTTTTTCATTTGATTTATCACCTATACTTAATTAAAAAAATTACATAAAGTGAAAGTATTACCTATATTTTAATTAATTTTATTTATTTATTTGAAAAGTTTAATTTTTTTTTTTACAAATTTTCCCATTGTAACTATTTTAAATAATTTGTGGCCCCTTGAATATTGACAAACTAAAAATTTTAATCTTATTATTATTATTATTTTTTTTTTCTGATATGAAGTTATTATTCTTGTAAATAGCATATAGAGAAATATAGAGAAATGTTTTCATTCTTGTAAGAATGATAATTTCATATTGAAAAAATAAATAAATAATAAGACTAAAATTTCTAATTTTCCTAAACTTAAGAGGGGTCACAATTATTAAAATATTATAACAATAGTACAATTTATTAAAAATAGACACAATGGTAAAATTTATAAAACTAAAGAATTTCCAAATTACTTGCAAATAAATAAATCAACCAAATTAAGATATTGCTAATACTTTCACATTTTTTTAAATATTTTTAATCAAATATAAGTGATAAATTAAATGAAAATATTTTTTCTTCTAAAAGAAATTTTTTTAATCACATAAAAATATAGATGATAAATCAATAATGTGTTTTTATTTAGTAGAACTTGTTAAAATAATAATTTTCTAACTTGTAAATAAATAAATCAATCAAATTAAAATATAGATAATAATTTTAAATTCTTCAATATTTTTAATGAACCTAAATATAGGTGATAAATAAATTAAATTATACACTTAGACATGTCTATTTTAGAAATATAATTAATATCAAAACTCTTCAACAACAAAATTATATAAAATATGATTTGTTTTTTTGCAATAAATATAAAGAATCAAGCGAGTTTTTAAAAAAAGTACAAGAGAATATGGAAAAATTAAAATTGACATGTTTAATGTAAAATTGTATTTTTTTTTTTTTTAATCAAAGCTTTTTTGTTCCAAAAAAATGTAAAATTAAATAGTAAATAGAATAATATAAACTTAAATACACTTTTAGTCCTCCTGTTTTAAATAATTGGTCACCCTATTACAAAATTAACAATTTTAATCCCTTAATTTTAATGGTCTTTAGATTTTTGTGGTCCACTCTCATCTACTTTTAATATAATAAAAGAGATTACTATCATAATTACTTTATTAATCTATTAATCAAACAAAATCAGTTTAAATACGGATTTACAATGATTTAAAGGTAATTACATAATTTAATCTTTACTTATTCTTTTATATCTTTCTTTTTATGATTCCCTAATTATCATATTAATTCCTAAACAATTATTCAGATTTCTGCAATAATGACATTAGTCCATACCAGATATTTTTACGGCTATTTGGTAATGGCTTTTATTATTTTAGTTTTACTTAATCCAACTTTTAGGATTCTAACGTATTCCTATATAAACCCTAGCATCCCTTGAATATATAGTGTATCAGTCATCCTTCTCTAAGTATATTGTAAGGGTTTCATTTTTTTTGTTCTTCTTCCTAAACTTATTTTTCACTCAAATAATCTCTATGACTTAAAAAGTATAATTTGTTTTCGTGATCCACCTTCATCCACGAATCCACCTTCTTCCTCTCACCACACCATGACCTCAAGCTTCAACACACCATAGCAACTTGAATTCCAGATCAGATCTAAAACATTTCCTATTTCCATATTCTCTACTTCTCACGGATCTACTTCACACCATCTCCACCATCATCTTACAACCTCATTTTCATCCTCCGCGGTAAACCATTCCACCATGACAACAACATCACCATACACACTCTACTGGAACAAACCTTTCCTTCACCCTTCCTTACCTCCATCACTTCCATCTGTTTTGTAACCACCGAAAACTCATCAACACCACAAACGTAACCATAAAACACCAGATCCAAGGTTCTTCCGACACCACCACTAAGCCCATTCAAACCAACTAAACTCACCATATAACGCCATGTCGTAACAACTACAAGAACCTCCAAATGAATTTCATTTCACCACAGAAATCCACCTTTTGTTACATAACTCAGCCACCACGTAACCGTGAATCTCATGATAACAAAAAATACGCGGTTATCGGAACCTCAACAAACCACATCCAAACCACTCACGTTTACAAACTGTGAAAGAACAACCATCTCACCACTGTCATGGTAGTTTATGTTTCCATTTTGTTTTTTGTCTGAGTTGATATGCATATGCATGTTATTTGTTTGGGTGTGTGAGATTTAAAATATAAAAAAAGATTGTTGTAATTTGACAAAAGTGAATGAAGTTTTTTGTCGTAGTTACATATTAAAACAAGGACAAAGTAATTTGAGAGTTTGATTTTTTTTGTTTTGTTTTATGTTGCTTCTGGTCTATTTTATTTTTTTATTTATTCAGATCCATCTTTTTAGTCTTGATTTGAAAAGTCATCCTAATAGATTTTGGTTGTCATTAAATATTAAAATTCTGCTCTTAAATTATTATTAACAATTATAATAATTAATATTAATTAACCTAATATAAATTAAAATTATATTAAAATAAGAGTCTCAAATTAATAATAATAATAATAATAATAATAATAATAATAATAATAATAATAATATCTCTAAAACAATTGCCATACCTTTGCTGCGAATGCAAAACTTATTCTTTAGCCACCACATTTGATTACCACCAAATTGACAAAATTAATCCATAACGAAACTAATTATATCCCTTAATTTAGGGTTAGAAACATCATTATATCATAACTTGAATTTAAATTAAATTTAATATATTACTAATATCATTACTTAGACCCATAAAATCCATTTAATAAATTTTATGTTTTTCCAACTAACCATATTCTTAATTATTTTTGTTTATTATTATTATATTTTTATTTAATAATAAATTCATTTCTATTTAAGGACGGTATCTTTCCAATATATCAATTATTTCAATGTTGTTTGTCTCTCTCTTCCCATTAAAAATAAGTTATATTGATTATAATTTTCATTTGTGTCTTTATTTTTCCATAACTCTATATATAATAATCACTTATGCCGTTCCTCTTTATTTCCATTTATCTTTTTATCAATTTTTTTAATATGTCTTTCAATCTGAAGTTATATTTCAGATCTAAAGGTAAGGTTTTGTTTTAGTTTAGATACAATTGATTCATTTAAATCTTCTAATAATATATTATTTCATTACATATTTTAATAATTTATTCCTCATCATTACAATTTTTCAATTGACAATTTCTAAATATATTTAACAATTGTTTGGGATTTTTATTTCAGAGGGTAATATTTTGTTTTAAAAACATTTCATATAACACCTTTAAAACTTTGAGTTAAAATTAACTCCAAAATCTCTAAGTGTAGAACTTTGCTCTAATTAATCTCTAGTTATTATTTTAATTATTAAATTAAACATTAAAAGAAATTTTTCGAAAAAAAAAAGGTTATATTTATTTATTAATTTTTTTAACTTTGACTATCTATTTAATCTAATAAAATAATTATAATATTAATATTTAAATATACACCATACAATAATCATAAATTTTTATGATCTTCTCAAATTTAATTCATAATTACTTAATTTATTATTTATTCATAAATCCAAGCTTTCTCTTTTGGTGAATATATTTGTTTTTAAATAATGATAAAATTTAGATTTAATTTGATAATAATTAACTTTTTTAATGGTTAGATTAGAATTAGAGTTAATTTTTTAATTATATTTTTGTTAGTTAATCAAATATTTACGCTCTCTTTAAATTTGGATCACATCTGTAGGCCTAATTTCATGTCCATAATAGTCCTTTTAATCTCCTAATAAATCTCAGTTAATAACCACAACTAATTATTGTTCCTTGCATTTAGGACAAGAAATATTATTAATTATTTTTAAGCCCAATATATTTTATTTTCATTATGAATTATATATCTACCTATTAACTTATAAATGACTACTTATCTACATATTAACCTATAAATAATTATTTATAGTAGATTTATAACTATATTGTGCAACTCACAAGTAAATGATTATTTATTTATTTATAAAAATATATCTTTTTGATTACTTAATTTTTATATATTTTATTTATATATTTTAATTATTATTATATTATATTTATTTACTATTTATAATGATATATATTTTATTTATATATTTTAATCATTACTATATTATATTTATTTACTATTTATAATGATAATGTGTCGTACGTGCATTCGCACGGGTAGATTAAATTAATGTTTATACTTTATATGTTAATCTTAATTTTAAATATTATATTTTTTTAATTATTAATATAATATATTTATTTACTATTTCTTACGAAATTGCACGACCTGTATGAACACACGTGTAGATGAACACTTAATTATTTTATTTATTGTTTCTATTAAAATATATATTTTGATTGAACAAGACTACTTTATATATATATATATATATATATATATATATATATATATATATATATATATATATATATATATATATATATATATATATATATATATATATATATATATATATATATATATATATATATATATATATATATATATATATATATATATATATATATATATATATATATATATATATATATATATATATATATATATATATATATATATATATATATATATTTCTTATTATTGTAGTATGTGCAGTAGAATAACTATTTATCAAATCTTTTAATATCTTAAAAATAATAAATGAAAAGAATAAAATAATAAAATAAAATAATAAATATTTACATTTAAAATTTAGTTTTATATAAATAAAAAATATTTTTAAAGAAAAATAAAATTGATTTGAAAAAATATTAGCTTTTTTAATGATAAAAAATTAATGTTTATACTAAAAAATAATATAAATATTTGTTTTTGTAAAAAAAAATATATAAAACAATTATAATTAGTGAATACACAATTTTGTTATACTTTTTAAATTTTATATATTATTTATAACAACATTATGTGACCTATGTGAAATGGATATACATATAATGATATGATTAGGATAAATTGTTAATTAATATTTTTTATTAAATAAATTAATAATATTTTAGAAATATTGACCTAGGTTCACGTATATGCACTATATCTCCAAATCTTAAATAAACAAAGGATTCGAACACCCTCCTTGAGGTCCCAGAAAGCTTTTTGCATCATCACATATCATCTGGAGTCATAAAAAAAACATTGGACTTACTCCAATAGATAAGTTTTTTCTCAAACTTAAAACTCATCGTATACACATCATTAATGTCTGATTTATGAAGCAAAAATGTATATTATAATATGTTAAAGCTAAATCTTGTGCTAATTGTCATGTATCTTGCTTGTGTGTGAAGTTCTGATCAACTGAATTTTGTTAGAGTTTTTTGGTTTTCATTAAAATTGTTGAGTTACAGTCCATTTTTATTTGTGTTGATTATATTTTTGGATTTCTTGCGAAATTTAGAGCAACTTTGATGTTAACATCTTTTAAAATGATTGAGAAATGAGAAAGTTTGAAAAATGACCATTGATGTTGTTATTGTTGATGATTCGTGAGGAAGAAGAAGAGAGTGGGGCGTGCAAATTCCATTTTCAAATATTTAGTTTATTTCATATTTAGTACAATACATATTATTAACGGATAAGAGCGTAGCACCGTTGGTCAAGGAGTTTGTGTGTGTACCATAAGAGTGAGAGTTTGAACCAATGTGAATTTCTCTTTTCCATTTTTTTTATTTTTTTGTTCTGTTATGCATTCAGTGATTTATCACAAATGTTATTTATTGAACTTGTATTTATAACACCACACACACGTGGCCTAATGGTTAATATTTATAACACCTATGGACGGCATCCCATTTTTTTACACTTGTTTTGTTCATTTTCTTTACCATTTTCTCTCAATTATTTTAATAAGCAAATTAATTTATTTTGGGATGATTTTTTGCACAATCCTTTTTTATCTACTCTATTTTATGAATATATGAAAAATCTCAAAAATAATATTTATTTTATCCATTTTTATTTAATTCCAAACTAGTCCCTTTTAGGTATTTTAAAGACGTTTTAAAATTTTCTTTTTGATTGACCCCCTTGCTTAATTAATCATTTGTGCTCATGTGGCTATAGTATCCTTTGATTGGTTTTCATTTGATGTTGATAACATGATTAGTTTGGTACACTCAGGGTTTTAGCACGCTTTAATGAACAAACCTCGTGTTTAATATCTTTAAAAACCCTAATTTGATTTTGGTGTTTTCCATTTGTTTTTGATGCAATGTCTTGTTGATACTCACTTGTATCTACCATGATAAATGTCTTGATGTGGTTACCATGAGTTAAAGCCCCTTTTAATTACACATTCATGTATGCTCCTAACTTTGATGCCATAACTTTTAAACTTTGATGCTTATCTTGTTTGAATTCTCTTGGTGTTTAAAGTTGATTGTTGACATGATAAGATAATTGCTTGATTTGCCACGCGCCTTGTATGTTTGTTACATGTTCATATCATCCATGTTTACTTGTTTACCAAGTGTGTTTATGTCTTCTATCTTTTTTCATAACTTTTACTTGATAAACATGTTGATTTTCCCTTTTTGTTTAAATACTTGTCCGTCTTTGGTTTAGCATTTTCTTAAATGACTCTTTTAAAAGTCATGTTATCTTGTGACCTCATCCTCTCATTTGTATGCATGTTTTCTCTTTTATTAGTAATCAAATGATTATATTTCATTATATTAATGCTTGTGTTCAATCCAAGGAAAAGAGATAATATTGTTGACTTTATAGTCACGTGCATGTGTATTGTCTTAAGTGTACCCCTTATATGTTTATCCTATGTATTTTTATGTACTCTAAAAAATCTTTTGTACTTAAACCTTAATCCATTTCTTAACTTTAACCTATTTCACATAAAAAACCTTGACTTTGTGTCATTGCAATTTCAAACCTTCTTTTTTAACAAACGCCTCAATATACTTAAGCATATCAAAACAATTTCAAAAGACTAAAAGTGATTCAACCTCACTAAAATCTTTTTGTCACTTGTATTTTCAATTTAAAACCTTTTCTCAAAGAGATTGGATATAAATTCTCTTTATAGTTGAGATATGGTTCTCCTATCCCCATAATAATGATTGAAGTAAATGTTGACTCTTTCCACATGAGGAAATTAGTGGCAACTTGTTGATCTTATATCCAAG